CACAGTGTCCAATTCACGGTGTGTTTCCTATCTGTTACATGTTATTTAGTGTAGTGAGTATTTTTTGGCTAATGCAAGCACTGCAGGTTAAACTTACATTCATTGCATTGTATTTTAAGTTGAAACTTTTTAAAAAGGAGATTCTTTTAGGAGGAATTTTAATAATTTTAAGAAGCAGTCTTTTTGATGGACTCTGTACATATGTTAAAATTACTAGCTCTATCTGATGTATGTGTCATGGGCTGATTGATAGAAAAACATATTTATGGTCATGAATGATGCTATTTGTACATAGGTTTTAAGTTACTAGGATACAGACTGTGTTTTTAAATCTTGTATAATTCTGTGATACTTTTATAGAACAATTCTGGCTTCAGGAAAGTCTAGAAGCAATATTTCTTTCAATAAAAGGTGGTTTACTTTACCTGCTTCAGAGAAGTCCAGATGATCCGGTTTTCATACTAATTAAGATTATTTTTAAAATATGTTAACAGTTTCAGTTTTAAGAATCCATCCACATTTAAAGCAATGGGTAACTAAATAACACACTACATTCTGTTAGTTATAAATTATTCCTGGAGATTGTGAATAATATATATTTTTCTGTTTAAGACATGCTGTGATTTTTTTTTGTTTTTAATTGCCAATTCATCCAATCCTTTCTCCCTTGAAGTCAATGCAGTGAGCTGCACAACCAGCGGTTGCCAGAAGTAAAGCAACATTACACGGTGCCATGCCCTGCTTTGCTGCTTTCCCTCCTCCCTGCAGAGCTCTCCCTGTGACAGCAAAGTGCAGCAGGCTGGACAGGCAGGGCTTAATGAGAGCAGACCACACATCTCTAGTGAGGAGTGTCTCCTTGCACAAGAGTTGTCACAGAGTTTAGGTTTCAAGGTAAACTCTCTCTTACTGCACTCTATGTTTCTTTGGTGGTCTGTAAATAAGATTACCTTCATAAGCTAAAATCAACCTCTGAAGCTATGCTTCATGAATCTTCTTTCTTCTACACAGTCCTTGGACAACGATGCTCCTGCAGACATAAAGTTACAGGTGATGTTTGTGGGAATCAGGAAAGGGGATCAACTTAAGTAGTCAAAAAACAGTCATTGCAATGCTAGATAGACCCCCGAGAGATGTCTACCTCTAGAAAGCACACTGGCAAACATAAGATGTATTTCGAAACAGGGTACGGAGCAGGCTGGGCCAGCAAGTTTGGGAGGACTTTAAGGACAAAGGCAAGTTGAAGCAAGGTCCCATACAACTACGGCTCATATCTTTGTGCAGGGAATTATCCAGCATCAACCATGTGCCCTTCATTCTTTCAAAGTATACTTTGAAAGAACCCAGGAAAGATGCTTTCTTCTTTCTTATTGCTTGGGTAGAGATAGAGAGGGGAATGGTGCAATAGTGTGGTCCACCCATTTACCCCACTCCTCCTTCCTCCTTACATGACAGCTTAAAGTACTCATTCAAAAAATGGAAGAGATCGCATCTTCCTCAGTATGAAGGTGATCAACCTTCCTTCTTCCAGGACAGTGCCAAGACTTCTAAACTATCAGAGGCTTAGATAGTACTCTATCTTCTAAACTAGGTGAGAGCCTTTTTTGCAGCTCTTTTATAGGAGTATGGAGGGAAAAAAATGTAAAAGACACTAGGAGATACACGGAACAATGAGCTCCAATCCTTGCCCTCTGGAAACATGCATAAAATATAAAACCAGACCAAATGAAAGAGGCCAAAAGCTGTCGTATCCTTAAGTGTCCTAAGCAGTGTGTTGCCATCCCAATACATTTTGCAATTCTTTCTGTGAAGTACTTCTTGTTCTGTAGCTGAAGCAGTTCGAGTCCATAAGCAGTGCATGGTGTGACTGTCAAGAAGCTCTTACAGGCAATGGGCAGTCACAGGCTCAGGAAGAAGTCAAATGCCTAAATCTGACTTCATCGTCTCCTCACAGCAAGCAAGGGGAGAGCCAAGAGTTGGACCTTCCCAGCTTTTTCTGATCTGCAAAATAGTGGTAAGTGTGTGTAATTTGAAAGGTGCTACATAGTTATTTACTTTTTGAAGAGGGCCTGGAGCTGGACAGGAATGACTTTAGGGCTTGCACATCTTTGGGAGGTGCCAACATTGTGCAAAATGTTTCTTCTGGGATTTAAAAGAAGGCAGCCAGTCCTCCCCTTACACCTTCAGACTGTGTGTGACACTTTCTGAGACCTCCTACCAGCTGAAAGCCCTCAAGAAAAGCAAAGATGAGTAATGCTTCATTTCCAGAACTTCAGATATGATTTAGTTGCTGTTATGGGGGGGGGTGGGGTGGGTAGATCCTGTTGTTCATGAGGTGTTAATGCACACAAACAGCTATAAAAAAAATATTTGGATCATAGAATCATTCTGGAGGTCAGCCACCTCTAGGTTTACCTGGCAGTAGAATGAAGGTTTTTTCAGAATGCAGGTCTGGGCATAGACCATCCTTACTCTCCTCACCAAAACTCCCTTTAGATGCCTGCAGCTGCCTACACTGAAAGTCACACAAGCACAGTGGGTGAGGATCTCCGTGTAGAACAGTCAGGGCTGAGAAGCAACATCCCTTTTCAGGGAGGATTTGCTCAGGACTAGTCTTGAGGCCTGAGCACCCATGGATGGCTGATGTCCAGTAGGTGTGATGCTGTAATAAAACTTCCTCCTTTAGTTTCAGGAAAAAAACAATACAGTTTGTATGCTCTGACACCATTTTTCAGTGAGAACCGATGTGCAGTAAGTGGAGTACAAGACAGAGAGTAATTTCAAAAATTTATGTCTCAGCTGAAGGGATGCAATCACAACCTGAGCTACCTCAAGCTGTCTGGGGTAATTTTACTCCCACTCTGGCAGCAGATGTCAGTGCAGAGCCACACAACGGTGACTCTCCTTGGCCCCTGAACTACCCTGCTGTGCTTCCAACACCTGCCAAAGTAGCTCATTTATTTAGTTTTCAACTATCGATGATACCCTTGATGTGCTAGAAAGCTACTTGATGATAATTTCATCCACAGCACATTTCTTGGTTTAACAGTTCTAGTACTGGACACTGGTAATATTCAGAAGGATCTGCAAGATGCTTTTTGTGTCATTATCTGTGTTGGAAACGAAAACAAGTAAGTCTTACTTTGAACTTGGAAGTTGGAAAGGACTTGGACCACATAGATTTCTCTGCTGTCCATGAAACAGTAGCTCATTCCTGGTTGTGCACATTGGGTGAAGCTGCACGGCTGTCTGGGGGCTTGAGTCTGGCAGGTGCTGTGCACACCTCTGCAGTTTCTGTCTGTGGTCTGAAACCATATGCACTTAGATACCCCAGGAAGACAAGCCATGCCCTGAATCAAAGCAAATGCAGCTGCCTCATGGCAGCAAAGTTTTGTCTGGTCATTGCTGGTGTGTGGGGGCTCATAGTATTAACAGTTCACCAGGCAGTGAGGAGGTTTCATAGAAAAGAACCACAGTTCATCCATTCACGAAATATGCACTACACATCAAAATACTTTTGAGTTTAAAGGCTCAATAATGAAACATTCAACCTGCTGTTCTTTTGATCTTGAAAAACCAGGCTGTCTCGGGACAGAATTTCCATCCATGGATACACCTACACTTTTAAACTAAAGTGAGTCCAGAGAGTAGAAAACCTACCTTCAAACGCAAACTGTATGAACAAAGTCACATCCACACTGCTAGACCAGGCTGGCCCCATGCACATGCAGACAGCCCTGGGTCTCCCCTTGGCTTTGTGTTGATGTTGCTGTGGACCCAGAATACAATTTCCATTTGTTTTCATTTTTAAATGTCTGTGGTAATAAAAGGCCTGCGTTGCAACCACTAGAGCTCTTATGACATGGTGGTGCTGTGGTGTGTGCTGCAGCCCCTGCAGCGTTCATGAGGACACGGGGGTCCCTGACATGCACAGCCTGTGGTGCTGGGTGGCTGCAGGAACAGGGGAACCAAACCTGGATCAACCACTTCTGGCATGTGGGAGCTCTCTCGGGTATAGCCCTTCCCCACAAACCACACGGAGGGAGTCTGCTGATGTGGTCCAAATCAGAACCAAGGAGTGAGCTAAGAACTATAGCAGTATGGACATCAGGAGTTCAGTCCTTGGGTTCATGCCCTGGCCCTCTTTCATTAAGCAAGTAGATGCACATAGACTTGTACCCTATGTATTTTTTCCAACTGTCCAATACATATTTCAAACAAACTTGTATATCTTAGCATACAACTAATATCAATTAAATTTAGTGCTAGAGGAAATGGTGGAATTTTACAGTTTATTTCTACATATTCAATACTTAGCTGTGATCCAGCGGTCACTGAATTCACTGGAAAGATTTGGTTTTGTCAGACTACATACTGAAAGACCAAACACTTCATCATCTGATCCAGAATGACTGTAGTTACCCACATACCTTTTTCGCCACTTTTTTTTTGTCAGAAATAAACCACACATGATATGCTATTTTTTATTTTCAAATATCAAGTATTCAAGAGTTTGTTTTGTAAACACATGTTTACAACAGATGCTGACAACAGATTTCATTAATTGATGTGTTACGCAGGTTTAAAATTATTCTAAGCTCTGCTGAGAAATAAATATCAATTAAAAAACCCCACAGAGGAGCCTAAAGTATGCAAAACAAACCGCATAAACCATTAGCCTCTTTTTACCACAGCACAGCACCCACACAGTCATACGGTCAGACATACTCTACAAATTTTCTTAATACTCTACACATTTGCTTAATAATGAGTTTTTTAAAAACTAAACAGTTACAGGCAGTGTGCCCACTCCATGCTCCTAATATACTACCCCGACTGTTGCTGTTCTGCTTAACTAATTTGGTAGAGGTATGCACTTCAGCCAAGGGCAAAACTCCTGTTTGCTCAACTGGGGAAAAGAACAGATCTTCTTTGAGGAAAGCCTTCACTCAAACATGAAGCTCACTGACTCCCAATTTTTTTTTCTTTTTTTGTAGGTATTGTTTTTTTTACAGCAACTCAGTTCAGGATGGTTTTGTACATTTCCTTTGTTTTGAAATTTCCCTCCATGTTTTCGACCATAGAATTTGTTAAAGAGGTAAAATTTCTGACCTATCAGTTGTAGGTGTACCTCTTAGTGCTATTTAGGATACAACCGCCTCCTCCTCTGCATGAGCAGTCCAGGCACAACACAAAATAATTACCTTTCAGAATTCAAAATGGAAGGGAAAAATTTTGTCTTCAAGACTTTACAACCAAACCCCTCTGTTTTAAATCATAGTTTACTTTAAAATTGACCAGGTTCTGCCTTTTTCCATTGCTAGAGGTAGAATTTGCTCTTACTCTGCCCCTCTCTTTCTGGTTTTCCATAGAAGAACATTAATATTTTAGATCTGAATCCTCAATTTCATGCAAATGCTTACAAACATTCGATTAAGGCATCCCAGAATTTAGACCAGTGCTTCTTGTCACTATAATAGAATTTATTTTCAGTCTCTGTTTAAGCAAAGCCAATTGCTAGAGGAGAATGAATACATCCTACATGAGATTTGTGTGGTCTGTAGAGCTTTTACCTTTACTGTTAGCGCTGGGTGAAATCCTACACTGCTTCCTGAAATTACTTTCCCACAGAGAGCTAGGTAGGAGTTGGCCCACCAGGAATTACAAACACTGTCTTTGCTGGACCAGTCCAGACTTTAAGAACAAAAACACATGAAGTTGCATCATTGACATGCCTTGAATATGTCATTTAAGTCATAGAGTTAACATGCATCACTGCATGTTACTACATCATAAAATACTTCAGTACCTATTAGCACCACAGTGTTGTTTAGTCATTTGTCCAAAGATTATCAAGCTATCTCACCCTTCCTCAAGGTGAACAAAGTTTTGGATGCTTTTTGTAGCCCTTCATGAATCCCACAGCTTTTCACCTATTTTATATCATGAACAAAATGTGGTTACAGAATAACATTGTGACAACTGGTCTGAGATAGAAAAAAATAAAAAAAATACAGTACACAATGGATAATGTAATAATTAGATGAGTAGAATGGAACCTGAATAAATAAACATCTATTTCATAACACTTGAAACCAAGAAAAGATTGGATCGATGAACTTGCAGAGCTACATCTGTGTTTAAAAGGCTGTATTAAGACAGAAGAAAATAGTTTATCTGAAGGATTGGAGGGGGTGTGGTGTGCTAAAAACTACAGTTATTAACTGTAGTTAATGTAATAGATACAGCTATGGGATATGGATAGTGTTAGCTTTCCTGTTTAATTTATGGTGATATATTCTGTGGAAAGGATAGGGAAAATTTCCTTCCTGAGGATCAGGTAGGCTTTCAAACCTTTGGCCACATAGTACCAAGTACTGGTGATATTCAGTGTAAAGAAGATGAATCATGTGAACCCTGGCCATACCTAGTCCCCATGCTGAAGGCCCCACATCTCTTTTCTGCAACAATGTTTACATGTAACCTTGTTGTTTTGGGGTTTTTTTAAACAAGACATTATAAGAGAAAAAGAAAGCCCTAAATATATACCAAAGAATGAATCTACCACCATGATGTTGACTGTCCATCTATAAAGCACTCTATAAAGAATAAAAATGTCTATAAAAATAAGTCCACTATGTGAAGAACCTGAAATGTGTTGATACAGATTTAATCTACAAGGGGCAAACACTCTGTCCAAAGAAATGCCGATTCAGATTGTAGTCCAGATAAATCTCCATTACCAGGTGTTTTAAGCCCCTGAAAAGCAACCACAGTTAGATGGCTTCAGCTGGGGAAACAGAGAAACTGCAGCATGCAGCATGGCAGCTCCTATGACATTACAAAAGACATATTCTTGAGAAAACAGAAAAAGATAAACTTGTTTGCTTAGGAAATATTTTGTCTTTGATCACTGAAAAACAGTAGTAGTAACCAGTGAACAGAGTATAAAAGCTAAACAACCACTTAATACCATTTAGTTCACACATGCTTGCTAAAGCACCAGCTTGTTAACATCCAACCCAAGGTACTGGCACAGTTCTTCAGCCTCATCATCGGACTGATGAGGCTGATAATCTGGCTCCAAAATAGCAGTAAGACACTTTGGACCTATTTATCACCAGTTTTATATTAATACAACATCATGAAGAGCTGTGGCATCACACAAAGAGAAAGTGTATTAAGGCAGCAATTAATTCAGGCATTTGTGGGGAAAACCGCAAGAACAGTTCAGAAGGTGCTGACCCCTCTCCCAGCCATGCTGTCTGGAGTTACATAGAGCAGGCAGTGCTCTGCTCCATTTGTACAGGATACTGAAAATGTGTCATCTGAACCTTTAGGTCCAAATTCTGTGAAAGGGCACAATTTAAACCTACAGCATTACTTGAGCAATTTCACTGGCTTTAAGGTCAGAAGGATGCCCTTATTTAATCTATCTCCCCACATAGCGCACAGATTTTCCACGATTCATAAAATAAGTGAGTGGCAGGAAGAGCTAGAATGTATCCTTCAGCATGTCCACAAAATATTTGGATTTTGAATTCTATTTGAAAATGAAAGCTTTCATCCATTGCCAGATATGTAAGTAGTCACACGTGAATGCCACAGGAGAGTACTTGAGTGCTATTTTGTGCTGTTCTGGTTGCAATGATCACTGAATACATGGGGAAAAAAGCTCAGCATGGAAATTGCTCTTTGGGTAAATGAACTCTTTTTTGAATGCAGATGGGATTCAGTCCAATACTTACATACATGCATTATTTTTAAGTGCATTACTTAAGCATATAAATTTAAGTGTTCTGCTGGATCAGAGCCATCATGAATTAATAGTTAATGCTATGAATTAATAAGCTATATTTAAAAAAAAAAAAAAAGAAAATATGTTTTTTAAACTACACTCAAGTGTTTAAACTACACTCAAGTGTTTGTAACTAATTTAGGGCCTTTCAAACTTACATTTCTAACACCTAGGAGATTTGTGCCCCTGCTTCACTTAGAGAACAGCAAGTTCTGAGGAACTGCATGTTACAACATGCACTGTTAAGACACACAATGGCTGGTCAAGGAACTGAAAGTTTCCAATTAAATAAAAATTGCACCATAATATTCAACAAGTGTCTTGCAGCTGCTCACACTACACTGAAAGGATATAAAATGCCACCAGTTTCAAATTATACCATAATATATCCAGTATGCTTATAAGGAAGAAGGGAGACCAAAACCACAGGGCTGGTGCCTAGAACTGGAAATAGGGAGAGTCCCACTTTCCAGATATCCCAGCCCCTAAGAGGTCTGTGAACCATCTCCTGAGGGTGCTATACTCATAAGCACTCAGGGCCATTGCTACACCCTTTCTGGAGTTTTTTCCTTTCTGAGGAAACAAGGACAAATGGGAGGCTAAGCAGGGACAATTGCCTGTTCTATCAAGTCCATATATTGGGGCTACTTCTCCTTTCATGTCCCTCACTCTGAATCAGGGATAAGTGGTGTAAGGGGAAATTAGTCTATCCTTGTGATGGCATGATGGCACTTTGAACTTACAGTTAATCGCTGAGTGTTGTTCCTCCATATTATCCCTGGCTGGTTAACTGCAGGTGGCTGACTTGGGGATGCTACCAATAGCAGCCTGTGAGTGAGCAGGACCCCTGCTTTACCTTTTCTTGTACTCACTGCTATTCAGCCTTTAGTGTTTGGGGGTAGAGAGGGAAGGTAGGAGAAATTACAAATGAATGGAATTTTATATTCTATGGTCAAAGGATTCCACAGCAAGAAGACAGCATGGCCACCTTCACTGAGTGATAGATAAAGCTCCTTTTCTTCTTGTGAGTTGGTTTAGCACCACACATCGATCATGGCTACTGCTAGGGATGCAAACAATTTATCTGGCGATTCTGCTTCCTTCAGCAATGACAACCTCAAGAAATAGTGTTTGTTCAGCAGGTCTTAGCCCATATCTCAGCCAGTGCTGACAATGTTGGAATTGACTTCTCTAGGAAGTTAATGTGTTTCCCCTGCATGCCTTTATTGGCTTACTTTAGACTGTTACAACTTACTCACAATAAAGCCTCCTTCAGGAATCAATGAAAAACTGGGTTTTCTTTCTTTCAGAGGATGCTGATTTAATTAAGTGATTTTGTAGAAACATGTTCATATTGTCAAAATTATCTGTATCAAAAATACTAATGATTTTTTTTTCTATATAATTTTGAAAGAAAAATTTAAAAGCTATTGAAAATGTATAAACAAGGCTTTTTCAGTATTTCCAAAGTGAACATCTTTCCCTCCACATTCCAGTTTCTCAAACATTTCAAAAAATGAATGTTTTTAGAAGTGTGTCAGGATTTCCTAAAAGGCAGGTGGTCTCCATTCCAACAAGCTCTGTATCCTTGAAATCAGCTCAGAAGCGGTGGCAGTTGCAGATGTGTCTCTTCTATCACTCACTCTCTGCCATCAGTGTCAGCTCCTGACAACCCTACAAGCCTTATTCGCTCTCCCATGTTATTCACATGGAACAGAAGCACACAGGAGGCATGAAATAGAATAGATCAGGATAGATGATTCATCTCCAGCCTTTTACAATTCCCTAAATGTTCTGTTTCTGAGGTATTTTAAAAGATTGTCACTCTTCACCTCACCCTGCGGTGATTAAAATGGGTGAATTATTAAAATGGATGGGCAATGGGCTGCAATTACACTTTGTCCTACTACTTTGCCTCAATTTTTGCCATGGCAGGAATTTCTTAGTGCAAGAAGCATTTGAGACTGAAGCAAAAGGAGCCTTTTTTGTCATCTATTCTGATCTCCTATGGAAAAAACAAAACAAAACAAAACAAAACAAACAGTACCTCTGAACCAAGGAAAATTACTCCTCGGGATGAGAAATGTGGAAGCTAACATCTCAGGTGGTACGTGTTGATTGACGATATATTAAACCTGGTGGCTGCACAAGGGGAAAAAAAGTAATTCTCAGGCTTGACCTCAAAAAGCTATTTAGTATGTACAGAATAGGAGGAATTTCTGAAAAATATATCCCACTACATTGTAGTTTGGGGTAGAAGCATCTGGGTTTGGAGACAGAGAGTGGGAATCATTACAAGCCACATAAAGGGACTGAGACATTCTGAAATAAGTAGCCACCATCTCAAGCAAGGGAACCAGCCCTGTGGGTAGTCCCATGTGCTGGTCAAAAAGAGACGGACATGAGGAAAGGCAGAAGCAAAGGAGGAGAGGGAAATCTACTCCTCCCAGGACAACTCAAAGATGCCAAGGAGAGTAATGCCTTTAATTTCAAGGACTTAGCTCCTTATAACGTTTGATCAACTTACATATTATAAATTTTAAATTAAACCAGGAATAAGTCTGTTCAAACATATGTAGAAGTTCTGCTCTTTCCTATTTATTTTCACACAAGCTCTCTACATGGCAAAATCCAAACCTGACTATCACTGAGTCCTCTTAAAAGAGTGCTTTTTATTTCCTAAACTTCAAAGCCTTTCCCTGCAGGGCAAAATACAGCTTTGACTTCCTAGTGTCCACCTGAAATCATTCTCTGTCCTTTGAGACATCATTAGTATATCATAAGCATGGCACTACAAAGCCTCCAGAGCAAGAAATGAAATGCCAAGTACATTTGATTAGAAAGTCTCAGTATCTCCTGGGGAGAAAACACACTACAGTAATTTGGAATAAGCAAAGGCCACATCACATCCTGTGACTTCACACGTGAAGACAATTTCTATTCTTAGCTCTTCCCCTGGAAGGACAAAGGAGGGACGACTCATCCTTTGCCTTCACAGAAGCTTTCAGTGAAGCTGAGGAAAGGAAAGGCAAGGCAGCCACGTTTGGGACAAACCATACAACTAGAACATCCAGGCCTGCCCCACCAGCCTGCCCAGCAGCGGGCAGTGGGAGAGGCAAAAGTGGGGCAGAAATGAGAGGGACCTGGCATCTGAGCTGGCACTCCTTCCCCAGCTGTCCTCAGTGGCAGCGACCACAGCACCCTGGTGGTGACAGGAGTGGGGGGGACAGCCTCATACCAGGCACCACTGCCTGCAGCCCACTTAAAGTGTCTCTCTGCTCAGTCCTGCAGCAGGCAGCAAGCAGCGCCAGCCCGAACCCCGGGTCATCGCGCGCTGCGAGGGGCCCACCGGGTCCCAGGTGGCCACACATGAAATGAGACCATGAGCTCTGCCTCGAGATTTCTTCATTGAAGCTGAACTAGACTGGAACACATTTCTGAATGACAGACAAGCTCTTCCTATCAAGCTATAACTGGTTATTTTCTTCTTCAGGAAAAGTATGGATTTGACACTAGTAACGGCCACCACAAATAACATTCAGAAATATGCACATATCTGCTCTTGTATGTGTGTATGATTCCTACATCTTAATGTCATTATAAATTAATACTGAAGTTTTTTACTCCAAGCATTATACTTTCCTAGCCTGTGTACTTTGTGAAGAGTAACGACATCCCGTCAAATGAAAAATTAATGTACCTTTTGACAGGATAAAGCAATTACAACTAAACATTTGCAAACATTACCCGATGCATAATTTTTGTATGGCTTAACATGTTATTAACAGTACTTTAAACCTTGTGTTATTTTCTGATTTAATGCTCATGTCTGAAAATAGCCCCTTGCAAATTCAGTTGCAGTAATGTCTTTAAAACAAACTTTAAACTTATTTTGCTGCACAATTATTCAAATAAGTTGCATAGTTTAAACAAGTTCAGTTGTGCTTTGTAGCAGAACTCACAGTAATTACTCATCTCTTAAAAATACAATTTACAGATGTGAAGTTGATGATACATTTAAGCATTTTTGTGACGTCTAGACATCAACAATATGAGTTTTTGTCACACTTTCACTGACTTCTGCTGTTTATAATACCTCAACCTTACACTGATATTAGGCCAGAGCATGGACATTTAATGGACACATCTGAAATAATTACAAACACAATTTTTTAAAACTCCATTGTCGGGAGGGGAGAAATAAGAACTTGGGTTGGTTTGAGGTATCCAGCCCTCAAGAACATGCTATGGTTGTTTGCATTAAGCTTTGTTGGTTTTATCACATGTTACGTTTAGATTAAAAATAGAAGGCACAGGTGTTTTACAAGGCGCCGTAATTAAGTCAACCAACAAAACTAAATATTACATTACCAAGCCAGGGGTCTATATCTCAGCAGTGACTTCTTCCAATGCATTTTCATCTGAGGAATTTATTGCTTCTGAAAAAGGGCCGGGGTATGTCTGCGCTACGCAGTTCATTCCTTGTGCCACACTGATGTCTCCTCGGGAGCTGAAAGTAGGGCAGGACCTAGTCCGTGCATAGTTTTGTTGGGGTCCAGCTTGGCCAACCATCTCACTCACAGTGTTCACCGGCGAAGCCCTCCATCTCTGTCTCTGCAGTTGTTCTTCTTTACACTTAATGGAATACCAGGCCAGGAAAATAAAAAAGAATCCCACAAACTTGAGAGCAGCAGCCAACCCAAAGTAGACAAAACGAAACGAGGTGACATCGTATTCCCAACAAGATCCCTGTACGCCACAATCTTGTTGCCAAAGCATGCACGTGGTGTCAATAACAGCCCCAAAATAAATTGGAGTGGGAATGTAAGCTGAAATAAAAATAGCAACAGAAATAATATGTGTTAGCATACAGTGGAGACTGTATGCCTTAGCCAAACAGTGTAGGTCAAGAGTTTTTAAGATTTCTACGCTACTGTTCTCACATGAAATGTAAAACATGGAAAACTAGTCAGTTGATCTTCCCACCAACACTACTTCTCCCACATACGAAATGTTCCACAAATGGGAAAGAATTCAAGCAAAGAAGACAATGCAACAGCACCTTAAAACAGGTACAACTTCAATCTGTCATCCCCAAACAGCTCTTCTTGAACTACTGTCCCCCAAAAGAAAATCTAATGTTGCTCTCAGGAAATATAATACAGGAATGGAACAAAATACGTTATTATCTCCAGAGTGTTACTTGCTGCATATACATTGCCCATGAGCTGGGAAAGGGCAGGATTTGACCCTCTAGATTAAGGAGAAAAAGCCCCCCAAACCACAAAATGTTTCTCTTACTGAAGATGGATGGAAGTGGTGAGACTACTAAAATTGTACATTTTCTTTTGAATAGATCTGCCTCAGAAACAGACTTAAACTTCAAAGGCTGCTAAAAATGCAGCCAGCCCACTGAATGCCCCTGCTTTCTCCAGATATACAAGACCTTTAAGACAAGTCAGAAATGTCCTTCCTCAAAGAAAAGTTCCAGATGCAGCTACACAGGCTTCTCCTTTTGTCCTCTTAGAATAGTTCTTGCTTGCCATAGTCACATGTTTCATAGTAGTTGAACACCTGGAGTGTTCTTTATAGGCAGGGTTTTAGAAGTTTAAGAGATTGAAAGAAATTATTTTGTGGAATAAAGACTTTTAATATATACCCTTTTCGCTTCAATTTGAAATTAGACATTAAGTAACTATTGCTTCTTACTTTAAAAATGCAAAGAGATATTGCTATTGATGAAAGCAATAAAAATCTCTTTCTAGAAAAGAAAATATCCTTATAATGTTTAGTAACTATTAATTTTTAAATAAAATTTGAAACTGTAAAAATATCTCTTTCTGGGACACAAATGTTGTTCTAGAAAGTAAAAAAAATACATTCTGAGCTACAACATTTTCAGAAGGCATTAATTTCGGGTTTCTAATAAAATTAGTCCCGCAATTTATTTCAGATTTATGGAATTTTAGTACTTTTATGGTATATTTAAGCAGAACATGGTGAGCCTTTAGGGAAATGTTGGGCAACTGTAAGACTTACCAAGAGTTCGTAATAAAACAAACTGCATTCCTAGTGCAAATGGCCGCTCCCCATCTTCCACAGACCTAGCAAACGAAAAGAAAACTCCTCTGAAGAAACAGTCATAACAGATAAACATTACGGTATGTTCCGGCTCGCTCTACCTCCTGGCTTTTTTCTGAGATACAAAAAGTCTTTCTCTAATTTCTTCCACTTAGCTTCTAATATTATTAACTCTTATTGCTTGGAAAAAATACAGCCAGGCCCTCCTGTCCCTGTTTTATCAAAATCTCAATCATGCTTTTTAACCTTTCTTTACCTGTGTAAGGTCTGAAGAACTGGATTCAAACCCTTTAAGAAAATTTAGAGAATCTATCCAAAATGTTTATGGCTTCTCATGATAGTCTCCTGTTATTTCATATAACATCTTGCTTTATTTTCTTAAGCTTTTTCAGATAAATTAGAATTAATGGGGAATTAAGTTGCTGAAAACTGATCTTCTGAATTTAACAGTTTTCTATATAGTATAAGCACTTTGGAGCTATTTTAGGAAAAATATCAGTAGAAACATCCAAACAGCCTCTTTAAACACTGTTCCTTTTCAATACAAGTAATACAAGATTTCTTCTACTGGTTTCAAAGGAAATGTGTCAAGCTTTCAAAAGATTAAACACAAAGTAATGACATTCCACAATGCAACTACAATTCTAGTAAACTAAAAATTTTCTTCTGATTTAAAAAATACTTTAAAATCTTAACCTAAAGGTCTGAAATTAATATAGGCAGTTTCTAATTACATTGTAATATAAGATAAAAACACATGAAAAGACTGCAGTCAAAGGGGTGCAGCTGTAAAATCAAGGTTTTGAAGTCAAGCACTCAGAAACTGCAAAACTGGAGAACCAACTTGGGCCATAATTTGGACTGATGCGCTGTGCACAATATGTGGTTTGGGACAGTGGGTGTCACTGTTCTTGTGTGTGGGATGACTTTTTTTTTTTTACTGAACATTACAAAATCCTGCTGGAGATGTCCCTTATGCACCTCATTATTGTGAGGCTCACTGCAACATTGATGTTCACTGACTGTAGTTTGCCTTTGCACAACTGCAGTGCAATGATGAGGTTTTTTTATTATTATACAGGTGGAAAACCTGGTGACAGAAGGAATAAGGTCAAAAGTCTCTGAATTGTAATGGCACTATACAGTAGTTATGCTGCACATAGTAGTTGAGCTAAGGTTGCATGAGCAACTGGAAGACTGATGTCCCCACTCTTGAACGCTTGGCTTCACAGTCCTAACAACGATCCTTGCTGTTTGTAGATTTTTTTTAATGAAAACTGGAAGACAAATTCCACCACATGCCAGCAACAGGTGTCTGCATACACCTCAGCCACCTGAGCCAAGAAAATGACAGCAAGAGAGTGCTCATTCTTGCTGGGGATGAGACACAGATGCCTGCCAGAGGGTTTCAGAGCTGTGCTCATGGTTGAGCCTAAGGATAGCAAAGACAAGTCCTGATCTGCCTCACATTTTCTAAGGCTCCATGACCTACTACAAAGAGTTGCTGTTCTTATTTTTATAGGGGACAAACTGTGAGCAGCAGCAGATTAGTAGTCTCAGAATATCAAAGGGAAGATACAAAGACCAGCAGAAAATCCCACTTGGCTGGGAGGACCATTCTTGCAGAAACTAAAGGCCCAAGACTGGTTTAAAAAAGCTCAATTTGGAGGGAGATTTTTCAAAAAAACGGGCGTAAAGGTGTCTCTATGTTAGCAATTAAAGCAGCTCAAGAGAAGCAGATGTATATAGCTAAACAGCTCATGCTGAAGACTTGACTTCTAACCACAAGCATTTCAAGTTTTGTAGGGATTTACTTCAGATGAGGTTTAAGCTGGGCCCAGGGACTGAATGCCCATTTGCATGTGGATCATCTCAAACACTGCAACATGCTTCCTAGAGAAGTTGTCAATGCCCCGTGCCTGCCAGTGTTTGGACAATGCCCTTAATAACAGGCTTTCATTTTTGGTCAGCCCTGAAGTGGTCAGGCAGTTGGACTAAACAATCATTGTAGGTCCCTTTCAACTGAACTATTCTATTCTATTCTATTCTATTCTATTCTATTCTATTCTATTCTATTCTTTCTATTCTATTCTATTCTATTCTATTCTATTCTATTCTATTCTATTCTATTCTATTCTATTCTATTCTATTCTATTCTATTCTATTCTATTCCAATCTTCCAGTTCATCTCCATCCAAAAGGAACTTACTTCTTGAACTCCGAGAGCTCTTCAGCTTCAGATTCCAAACCAAATCGACATATTTGAATCAGTCTCTTTGTCCCTCTGTTACAGGTGTGTTTATAAATCCTAGTAAATAATTATCTCATTTTCCTCTAATTATTCCTCCTCCTCTTCTTTTAACAACAGCAACATATATTATACAAATACAAAGTTATTTTAGCAGTAGAACATATTCTCTTTCAGCTCATTTTTCTTTAAAATATCAAACTTATCACTTACAGAAGCTGTATTTTAAATGGACAAAGAAGTGATAATGTTTATCAGACCAGATGGCAAAGATAGGAAAAGCCAATCCAAAAACCTGATTTTTTTTTTCAAATGGACAAATAAATGTCACTACCTTTCCCTACAATAACTGGGTTGTTCTCTATCCTTAAATGACCACAGTGACAACAACACTACTATACTACAAGTTCAAAATTCCTGTGAAGAAAAAAAGAGAAGATTCAAAACCAGGCATGTGGCAGGAATGAACCATTTTGAGAAAAAGGATAATTTTAAATATTAAATTTTTTCATTTGCATTTGAAAATCCAAACCATTGCTCTAAAAAGTTTGAAAATTTCTTCAGAAGCAATCCTTTTCTTACACGATGCTTTTAGTTGTTCTTTCTGTAAAGCACCTGGAAATTGCTCGGCACTTCATGCATCCTGAGGGGGATTATCGTGTTACATACCCTAAACACAAGCAAGTTCCATCCTATCCATGTCAGCCCTATTCTATTCATCTTTTAAGGATACAGAAGCTTGAAGGTGCTTGGCTGCACTTCCCCAGCCTCTTGTGACACAAGCACTGGTGAAAGCAGGCACAGGAAAAATGCTTAAAAAAACATAACTGAGCTCTCACCTGAGTGTCACTATGATTGCTGATGGTTGGGCGCACGCTGTTATAAGGGTAACAATGAAGAGAAATATCAGGAACGGGATAAGCGTGTTGCAGGTTCGATCACACTTCCCAGAAACAGCATAGCCGTTCTCATTCAGGTAGGTTTTAACAATAACCAGCCGGAGCTGACTGCGCTGGCCCACCGTCGGCGGAGTGATCACCTGGCGGCTCTGGACACAGGCACATTCTGTGTAATTTCTTACCTGGGGAGAATAAAAAAGAACATAAACAAGAACATTTCTACAGGAAATACCGCTGCGAGAAAGATATTCAACAGAGACGTGGTATGACCGTCTCACCGTACTTCTCAATCAGGAATCTTCTACCTCTAGCCTCATTACACCAAGCACAAGCAAAATTACCACTCCAAGTATTTTTAAAGCTGGCCAGGACTTTCTATGATGAGACTGCCTTTCCTTGCTTTTTTTAGGCTGAGTTTAAAAAAAAATCTGGAATATTTTTGGAAAATTCTGCCAAAACTATTCAATCACTTCTGACAGGGAGACTGGAGAAAAAGGTTGGTTTTATTGTGTTACAAAAACTGTGAGGAAACACTCTTCAAGCAGCACTGACAATGCCATATTCTGGAATTTGGCAGGCTGTTGACTTTCATGTTCAGGAGGTGTATTCTGCCATCTCGGTGGAAGTCTACCCAGATTTGGCAAAAGAGCCACAAGCTGCACTTCACACTTGAAGCCCAGGACCTTCCAGCTGGATGTGGGTGTGGGTGTGGATGGAATGTGGAAAGGAGCAAAACCAGAGAATAATGGGAAAGCAGAGACTTAAACAGTGAGATGGAGGGCATGAGGGATTCCTGAATAGACAAGGAAGCTGAAATTAGGATGAAGAGACTGAATAAAAAATTGGCATTTTGTAGGCACAAGAGACTGTCATTTGAACAAGGTAAGGACAAGCTAGATAAGAAATAGCCTCCTGTCACATTTATTCCACTACTGGTTTAAACTAATTTAATGGCAAAAGGGTGTGCAGCAGATCAGAATACAACAGTGCTAGAGAATAAACAGGTCAGGACCTACGTGATGTTACAGGAAGGTTTGGGTTTCATGTTTGTCTTCATAAAACCTAGGACCACACATGCACAGAAGCCACATTACAAGACCATCTTAAGGTTGCAAATTTAAGCACTTGGGGACATCAGGAAATATCCAAATTATGGTTGCTTGTCAACTCTAATGTATACCTTTGTATGTGTTTGTGCTATGACGTGGTCTCACATTTTCTTCCCATGGGATTTAGCTAAGCGTCTTAATAGTATATCAATTTATCCAATAATTTACCTCCCATTTTTAAAATGTGGCTCCAGGTATTTTTTTTCCTCACACTAAATATATTCCACTACAAAGACAGAACGGCTCATATTTCATATGGATTTTTCTATCACACTCACCACCACAGCTTAACTCTTTCAAAAGGAGTAATTTATCTTCAAAACAGTTATGAGGCACTGATGTTGTTATCTCTATTTTGTAGCTAAGTAACTAAAATAGATCAAAAGTTTCACAATTGTGGGTGACTAATTTGAGACAATTGGGATCATTTTTTTCAGAACATTTTCCATTATATACAACTTAATATATTCTAAATGTACTTTTCATGCCTTCAGATACAGATTTAGTCACTTGGTGCTTCTACAAATGGCACTTCTGGTTATTGCTCACGTCCATCATCCAGAATACGATGAATACAAGATTGATGATCAGCTGGGAGAAGCTTTGTTTAAGTGACTTGCACATCATTTAGGAATGAAGGCAATGACAGATTCCAGTTTTCCAAGGCAGCACTCCATTCTCTTGTATCAAATGAGTATCTGCTTTCTTCCTACAGTCCCTCACCTTAATGTTCTTATTGCTTCCAACTGCAAATGCCAAATAGGCATCCTACAGAAAACAGTCATCTTTAGTACACAATCTTGGTTCATCACCAGAGAAACCAAGTCTGTTTACTAAATGAGACAGACATGGCACAACAGAAAAGCTAGAGTATAAGAATATATATATAAAACAGGTATGAACTGCACACTGGCATCCTTTTCCCCTACTTCCAGTTTTAAAATGGTTAATTTTGAAAACACTATGGTATAAACTTAAATCCAAATGTCATAGGTTCACAACATTTTGTGTGTGACACAGTGGCACAAGTTTACATTTGTTGTTTTTAGAAGTACCCTACATAAAGCATTATTTAATGAAGAAATGCATTTTCCTACCAATGTCAGCCCTATTCTACTCACCATTAGCTACCGCGTTAAAACTTCAGGCCATGAAGGATCTTTTCTTAAATCATAAGAGGAGATAGCATGTTTCAAAATCTATAGTGAAAAGCACATACTCTCAAAGTACCTCCCTACTAAATGGATTAATGTGCCTGCATCAGGTGAAAAGTAGCAAAGATCAAACCTATGTCTCAATCCAGCAAAGCACAAATAAGATTTATATAGACACTGAAAGTTAGCCACAGGATAACATCACAGGCTTCTCCAACTGGATCAAAGCAATCTTTTACTAAAAAACAGCAAGATACTCTAAAAAAAAACCCCAAAAAACAAAACCTATAAAGGAAACTAATCTGTTCTCTGTGGCATCTATGTATGAACCTGCATTTTCAGACCGCTATCCAGTCAACCTGAGAAAGCACAGCACTGGACATAACATCCTCCTGCTTCACTGACTGGCTCAGGACTGCAAATCATGGGATTGATACATTATAAATAAGATTTCTGGAAAGCACAATCAAGTCCTGAGAAAATCAATGTTTACATTACTTCCTGTCTTTTTTAATTATCCTTCTTTAAAGGAGAGTGGTGTAACAGAAGAAATTTGAGTTTGTTTTTTGTATAAAACGAGCACGAGCATAATGCTCTGTTGCTATTCAGGTCGGAGTATACTTTCCAATTGCTTTCTTGTGCCCAGTCCTGGAAACTACCAAATTTCCATGGTGTGATTCTACCAGCAGGGTGCCATTTCCCAGTCCATCATAACTGGAAGATTTGGCTGTAACAGGAAATGTACTTCCAAGAAAGAAAGTGGATTATTTACATTCTTTAAGTTCTGGTTACCTGAGTTCAATGACAATCTCTTCATTTAGCCTAGAAGAGGTTTAGAGAAAGGTTCTGAGAATGGCTAAACTATTTTACAAGAACAGAATACATGGGAAGTCTTAACCTAGCCATACAAACAAAACACCTATCAATGTATTGGTGAAAGTGCAACCGATACTTATGCAAAATGACAAGACTGACACAATCACCAATTACTTTAAACAGACCATAACTAAGTTTAAGCAGGAGTTTAAAACTCTTCCAACTACCTGAAAAATTCTTCCATTCAGACAGGGAGCCAAATAAACCCCCAAACTGCTCTTAAGAGTAACATTGATGAGTTTTTAGAAAGACAGTGTTAGATGGCTGCCTATGTTAGCAGAAAGCTGAATTAGATGACACTGACTCGAGGTCCCATCTCCGAGCCCTGTAGGAACAGCAGACATGCAGGCCATTGCCATCGGGGACTTCAGAGTCTGCACTGGAAATATCAGCTCTCCCTGCCCCATGGCACTTTACACTCACTTGGTTGGAGGATTCACTTGGTACGAAACAACTTATGCATCAAGATTGTATGTAACGGAAAGGAAGGGGGGTGGGACCATGGAATAGCAGCATTACGAGCCTTTCAAAACATGGAAAGACTCACACAGCAGCTTCTCTGAAGCTTAGAGAGGGGATGCTTGTGCTAGAAACAGCAGTTGTCCATCTGCATCAGTCCCGAGGGGTTGTTCATGGGTCATATATGGGTGGATGGGTGGGTGAAGCACTTACCCCTGTGCTATGGTTTCCACCATTGATGCAGCCAGCTAGGCAAGGATTAAAATACGTTATTCCATCTGATCCACAGACAGGCTCGTACTCATGAATCTTACATCCACAGTTAACATTACAGCTCCCAGTCAGATTCCTGTGGGCCATGGCAAGAGTGGGACTGAAGAAAGGAGAAAGAACATACTAGTAGAGCAAGCACAGATATCCTCTGTTCAGAAGTAGAAAATATCCTACTTATTAACTCCGTAACTGAGAGTTGATTATCAGAGAAAGACTGATAGGTTATACACATGATTTAAACAATATAGAACACTCAAGGCATCCCTGCCATCAACTAAAAACACAATAAAAAAAATACCAAAGTTTAAAACTCGCATCTCATTTGCTTAGATAATAGTTGTATTTTCCCCCCGTTTTTCTTAAGAGTTAAGACATCACTATTTTATATGTCTCTCCTAAGCTGCAGCAATTTGTTGTTGATTACTAGTGAAGGGATCAATGTAAGCATTATGTGAACTAACAAGCATCTCTTCCCACATACCAACAACTGTTCAGAAAACTTAATGGTTGTATTATTTATATGTATATGTGAAATCTACAGAACACTCTCTAGATCTGGAGGAGTGCTGTGCATTTACTAAATGTCTAGAAGAACTACTGTTCTGCTTCCCTGGACCATTCCCCAAAATCTTGCCAAAGCCCAACTTTCTTGGTCCTTCCAGAAGGGTCTGTCGGTATGCTCAGAAAGAACTAAAGGGAATTTCAAAGCTGAAGCACATGCACACATCAAAAAGCAGGCTTTTCGTTATCAAACACTTCTGCTCTGAACAGGTGGTTGAACAGATCAACTGCCACAGCAAGGAACTTTATCAACTCTTCACTGGCAAGTGCCATGCCAGCCTGAGCATGTCCTCACCACGGGATGAATGCGCAAAGGGACTCCAACCAAGGTCGCAGCTCATGGCACTCATCTGAGCTCAGTGACTCCTGTAACAAGGCCTGAATGAAGCACTGCACTAAAACAGCTACAAGTCTCTTCTGATTCACCCTCTCCTCCCGCTAACACCTCTGCGTGGCACATCTGGGCCCTGTCTAGAGAGAGCAGGTCACTCGGAAGCAGTTTTGGTCCCCCCAAATGGCACTGCCCTAGGTGCTGGGAGTCCCAAAGTAAGAAAAACTCCTAAGACAGAACCAACACCTGATATCCTGAGCTGCCAAGGAGCAGTCAGTACAAACCACTGGGTACCAGAGTGCAACTCATAGCCAGAACTGAGATTTCAGAAACATATAATCCTACTGTGGCTCTATTTTACAATATCAGTTCTACCATTGCAGCTCAATCCAGAAGTGACAAAGGCCTTAGTAATAGCAGTGTCCATATCTGTAAAATCAGAGTCTTCATCAGAAGATGATGGGGGGGGGGAAAAAAACCACAGATCAAATGGTGGGTTTTGCCACCAGTAGAAAGAAATCAATGGTGGTTACAACTGACTACCAGCTGTGACCATCACAGTTTTTGACTCAGGTTTACTAAGTCACCCAGTCACCAAATTGCCTGGATCCCGTCTTAGATACCATATCACTTCAGCCCTGCTCAAAACAACTCTGAGGTCACTTAAAAATGCCCAGCTTTGGGCACAAACCCTCAAGGAGACAGCCACTCACTGCGCTGAAGGAAAGCCCAAGGTGACTGGACTTTTGACATTCCTGGGTAGAGTAAGGGCTTGAGTACAAAACAGAGGAGGAAGAGCAATAGCAGGTACAAAGGCAGCCTCACTGAAAGAAAAGAATAGTAAAAGCCCCTACATAACTGTATATACAAATTCTGATTATAGAGAAACAGAGGGAGTTAAAACAAAGGTATTAAAGAAAGAAAATATGGAGACTAGTTTGTTTAAATCAGACTGGCATAATTGGACCCACTGTATATAGAGTGAATATCAGAGGATGTAAGTTGTTAAATCTCTATTATCTAGAAGCTCCTCATTAATGAGGAAGTAATTGATGATCATATCATATTTTTCTGACAAATAACTGGTCTGAAAAGCCATTTACTTTTAGTCAGCATATTTTCTTGAAAACCTCAGACTAGTTTTTAAAGAGCTGCTATACTAGCTTTGGCCCTTTCAGTTAATGGGATTGCTTAGATGAGTTTTATAGCATTGGGTTTTTTTCCTTGGCTGGCTAAAGGCTAACTGAAAATGGTTTTTTTGTATGCAAAAACCTTTAGAAACACATGAAAATGGTTGTTGAGACCACAGTTGTCTCTTCACCAGTGTCCTGTCTCTAACAGTAGCCATAAGAAGATGACTAGAGAAGAGCAAGAACAGCGCAAGTAACTTCCCCCAGAGTATTCTCTCCACACTAATGAGTCTCAGTCCAAAATATGTTCTAAGCCTGATGTGGCTTTTTCATTAATAAGCCTAAATTTGTTTTTCCCTGTACTTCTCCCATTGAGATTAGATTTTTTACATCTACAATACCTAACAGCAAGGAATTTTTAACAGCCCGCAGGTTGTTACATGAGCTATTGTTTGTTTTAAACCTATGTCTTACTATAGGGCCTTATCTGACAACCCCCACTTCTACTACTTTACTTGTAAACTCTGAACATATGAAGGCTCCTGAAAAAAATAAACTTAATGGGTTCCTATGGCCAACATGAAAATATTTGCAAGCTAGTGAAATCTTGTAGTTGCAATTAAATAATCTAATATTAACTAATCTAATCTAACCACATCTAGTATGACCTGAAGGCATTATGCCAGAAGTTACCTGATAGTATAGGCATAAAGTATTACCTTTTACTCATGCTATTACTGAACATGCTAGCTCAGGTACCAAAAAGAAAATAACCGTTCTGCTTAGATATAGATAGATAGATAGATAGATAGATAGATAGATAGATAGATAGATATATGCAGACATACCTTGAAATGTAAGTTATCTTCTGCTGTCTTTATGCAGACAAATCATAACAAGCATGAACTTTTAAATGGCCCATATTGTATTTATACTTATTTTTACTACACTTTGCCATGCCCTCTATCTTGTTTCAGGCTGATAAATTAATTTAATAAGTGGAAAAGCAAGAGTCTGCAGTGCGGTTTATTGCTGGTTCAATTTTCTGCATCTCATTTGGAATTTCATCTGGGTTTAAAATACTGCCAACAACACAAATGCATTAAGGGAATGGAAAAGTTGCCTGAATAACCTTATTCATACCAATCTATCTCCAAGTGATACAGTTGGCTGAGGCTAGGGACCCTAGCTCTTATTTCCTAAATACTTTTCTGTCTAAAGAAATCACAGTTCCTGAATTGTGCACCTGCGCTCCCTCTTTACCACATAAGGTGATTCCAAGTCACTGAAAACTGAAAAGCAGCTGATATCAACATTTCCACCTGAAGCTTCTCCTGTTACTTAGGAAAACCTCCATTTTATTATGTTACTTTCTGTCTTAGCTGCATTCTAGTCTTCTAAGCGCTAATTTGTGTCTTAAAGTACCCGAATGTTAGGGACTGCAATATACAGTACTGCAGTGTGCATGTTTTTCAGAAGATAGAGGGCCACTTTCAAGCCACTTGTTTTATGGGCTTTAATTTACAATACATAAACCTGAAAGTTTTTAGTCCTTCCATGTACCAAAGCCAGAAAGGCAGGTTCTGTAAGGAATCAAGACAGCTGGCACTTCTGAAAATCTCCAGAATTCAGGACATTGGAAGTGAGGGCCTGACCTCCTCCCTTCAGTGACTTTCTGACTGGCACTCTGGTCAGGGAAGGTGAGATGGAAGCTGAAAGTGATGGCAAGATCAGATCAGAATAGGGTCTAGAGACAATGATCACAAAGAGTCTCAGTCCACAACAGCTCTTCGCAGTGATGGAGCTGACCTTGGACTCAGCCAGCTCAACTTGTAACTCAGACGACCAAGCTCCTGGAAGTAGGGGGTTGGGTTACAATCTGCACCCTGACACTGTATAGGAATACTGATGCCCACTACAGACAGCTCAGTGAGTTCCTACACATGGAGCAAAAAGCTGTGCCTTGTGCTGACAGCCCTCTTAAGACACACCACATTTCATGGATTTACAACATATCTCTTCTGAAGTGAGGAGGAATCTTCCTCTTCTTCATCAGATCTGCAGTTGTCTGAGGTGGGAACACTGGGGTTCCAGGTCCTCCTCAAGTTGAACGGGTTCAAACCTACACCTCATTGACAGATGTTCTTATCAGCAAGCTCCAGAATGGGATTTCTTTCCATCCTTTCTGCTGTAGCTGAACGTGATCTCAGTCCTGCCCATGTCTCCTCATCAACAAATCTTTACTGTTGTATCTACAGGCAAAACCTGGAACAGTAACCAGGACTGAACCCATTTCTTCCAAGGGGAATCTCCTTTCAGAAGGTTTTTAAGTTAGGTTCCTCTCTTGCTTACTCTTTTTTCTTCTTCTGCATCTCTATACACTTCTCATTTTTCCTCCTTTCTCTTCCCTTTTATCCACCATCAATCTGTGCAGCAGTGATGGTGGTCTTGGGGACATCAGGAGTTCAGGGTTAGATTCTCTCTGACTAAATTGCTGGATAAAGGCTACCACACAGAAGGTGAGCAACTTTTGTGGCAACCAATTTATTGACTTCCCAGAAAAAACACACTGTCAGGCAGCTCTTATATCCTCCGCAGTAACTGTTAAACACAGCGGCCAATGCTAATAACATGGGTATCAGCAGGAAACACAAACACATCCCTTATGAATCTGGACATATTTCAAATGCTCCCTTCTCGTCTTTGAGTCACAGCAGGTTAAACACCTGCACCTGCCTGGCTCCCTAAAACCACATGTCTGTGCTGGGTCACTGGGAGAACTCTGGCCAAAATACACACAATAGTTTATTTCACTTCAGTAGTCTGTGAGAATAGGTAAATATACTAATCTCTGAGATTGAAGAGTACAAAATATGCTTAATCTGGATTTTGGAAAGAATTCACATATTTCAAACACGTCCCAAAGTTCTTCTTCAATCAATGCACTCCCCTACCTTCTCCGCAGTGGTCACAATGGCAGAGATTTAATTTAGGTCAGAAGACAGGGCCATGCAGTCTGTCATTTGCATGTTTTTGTGACTCTTCATAGCTAGAGTGCATGGAATGTAAACAGTGAAG